TACATACATACATACATACATACATACATACATACATACATACATATATCAACTTATAGTCACTTGTAAAAATCTCTTGCATGAAACGTGCCCAGATGTTAAAACATATTAAAATATTTCAGTGATTTCATACTATTAATTGAAATACTTGTCAATCAACATATCAACATTATTCATGTATAAAACATGTAATAGTCAAATATAAGAAAATACATTTATGATTTTTCTAAAGCTTGAAAGAAACATGTCCATGGTCAATGAGTTTACAGGAAACATCAGACATTATTTAGGTCAAACGTAACGTATTAGGAAAGTTGACCTCATGTTCAGAGGTCACCGTCTGGAGAGCGTTCCTTTTTGCTTCACCCCTCCACTTTGCTTTTTTTAAAAAAAATTCCAGGGTCACTTTCCAGTAAATGATGTTAAAACTCCTCCTGCCTCGCTTCATGTTTGGTTCCAAAGGTCCCTGCATGCACAACCTATAAAAGAAACACGCAACACAATATTTAACTTAAATCTGAACTTGGTCAAAACCCTACAAGTTTGACAGCCACAATGGTAAGTTTCTAAAGAAGAATGATGTGAACAGTTATTTACTAAATTTTCTTATTGGTAGGATGGAGGAAAATGAAAGATTTTTTTTTGCAAAATTGATGCAACACTGTTCTTTTCGTGGTTGTTTTATTTTTATTATTTTGCAACCACATGTTGACAAAAATGCAATACTATATAAAAAACTTATTTTGTCAATATATATTTCTGTCCGTTTTTTTTTTCTTGAAGAAATATTTGGTCTGTGCTTTGCTGCTCTGTGTCCTGGTGTCACAGACCAACGCTTATTGTTTTTTCAAGGCCTCAACAAATGGTGAGAGAAGAATAAATATTTATGTTTTTTTATTTTTTTGATGTAAATATTTAAACAAATCATGTTATGTTTTTTTGTTTTCTTGTTGGACCTACAGCACAACAGACACATTGTCAGGATGATGTAGATAAGACGTGGCATCCAGCTGGCTCCAGTTGGAGAAACAGTGCGTGTATGGATTGCTCCTGTGATTCATGTTGTTCTGGGTATGTAGAAAAATCACCAAATATTCATTCAAGATGAAAAGAACAATAAAAATGCTTTTATTTGACATATTTTCTTTGTAAAACCTTTGCTTAATATGTGACTGCAGGTTTTCTATCCCAAGAGGCTTCCCTGATGACTGCGTGTCAGTGTTTGACCCAAAAACTTGTGTGTACATCGTGCACAAGAAGAACAACCCATCTGAGCTCTGTCCAATTTTTGCTGCCGTAGGGAGATAATTTCAGTGTTAAAAATGGTCTGAAATAGAATTTGGTGTCATGTGGTGACAATCCGTTTATTTGCAAAAGGCTTGCTCAAAAAATAAACATTCTTCCCAACCTTTACATTTTTGTGCAAGATTATTTTATTTTTATTTTTATTTGATTACTTCAAATTCAACAATAAATTAGGGCGGTAAGTAAAGTTTAAAGTAACAAGTTATAAATCTTAATTTTTAACATTAGTGCTATGGCCGTACCAATGCATCAATCTACATTAACATATCAACTAAATAATCAACTAGATTGAGGCAAAATGAAAACATAAATCCATATTGTCATTTTATGCCTGATGTGGATCGATATCATTACCCATTAATACAATCATTTGATTGTGTTACATGGGTATATGATATGCATCAGTTTGATTGGAGACTTGGGAATTTAATTAAATCAAAAATCGTATGATGACTATGTGATAGAACACCATGGTTCAGTCATCCAAACAAGTAGATATAATGTTTTATCATGTTAAAGCTGGTGGTTTACACCCCTAGTTAGTGCCATGCTTTCTCACGTATGTCTTACTACAAACCAAATTAATGAAAGGTTCAAATATTTATATGATAACCTCAAGTCTGTTGTCAGCAACCATTGTCTCACCAAAGTCAACGAGTAAAATATTGTTTATCAAAAGAAGCAAGTGAGCTGCATCAAATCTTCATTTCAATGTAACAGAAATGTCTATTTCACTGACGATTCAGTTGAAGAAGTGGAGAGAAGATGGAAACCTCCTTATAACAGGATGAAACTTGCAGGAGGCATCCTAACCAGATGAATCACCTCAACTGACTCCTCTCGACGTGGAGGAGCAGTGGCTCTGTTCACTAAACTCTACTGGATGACTGAGCCTCTCACCCTATCCCTAATGGAGAGCCCAGACACCCTATGGAGAAAACTCATTTTGCTCTCTTGTATCCGCGATCTCGTTCTTCGGTCACTACCCAAAGCTCATGACCATAGATGAGGGTAGGAAAAAAGACCGACCGGTAATCCGAGAGCTGAGCCAAAAGGCCAAAACAGATCCCCTCAACATCTTGGCTGAGTCTAGAAATTTTGTCCATAAAAGTTATGAACAGAATCAGTGACAAAGGGCAACCTTGGCAGAGTCCAACTCTCACCGGAATGAGTCCGACTTAATACAGGCTATGTGAACCAAACTCTGACACCGGTCATACAGGGACCTAACAGCCCGTATCAAAGGGCCTGGTACTCCATACTCCTGGAGTACCCCCCACAGGACTCTCCGAGGGACACGGTCCAACACCTTCTCCAAGTCCACAAAGCTTTTGTCCTTAATGGATTTTTTTTAAAATGTTCATTACTTTCACTTTTATACTTTAAGTAGTTTTAAAACCAGTACTTTTGTAATTTTACTTGAATAAAAAGCTTGATTCGATACTTCTACTTCCAAAAAAGTATTTTTAAATACCAGTATCTATATTTCTACTTAAGTAATGAATGTGAATATTTGTGATGCCCCTGCTAACTTAAGATTCATGTCAAGATTTCTTCATTGTTCAGTTGGCTGATGTGGGTTTATTTTAGTTTCTGTGTTTTCTTTGTGTTTTCAGTCCTTCAGTACTTTCCTCAGTTCAGCTCCTCCTCCTTAGTCCTGCCACGCCCACTCACTCCTGTTCCCCATCTCATTAAGCTCAGCTGATTTGTTTTGCCTCAGTCTATATAGTTCCCCTGCATTCTGTTCTTCAGTGGAGCATTTTTAATTGTACGTGTCACATGCACTCCTGGAGATTACTTGCCTCAGTTTTGGGGCATTTGCTCTGCGGCCATGTCAGACTTTTGTTTGTTTAAATTAAAGTTTTAGATTTTTCTTCAAGTTCTTTGTGTCAAATTTTCACTCCTGGCTCCCCATCCTTCTAAACCCATGACAAAGCTATGAAATTGATCAAAGTAGAGGGTTTTAGGCGTACTTGAATAATAGACAGTGGTGATGCAAGACAACAGAGAAATGATGAGGCTTTCTGTTCCAAGAAACTGATATTGTGCAGGATCTCAGTTTGGCCTTTAATAAAAAAATGACTTAACACATCAGAAAAATGTCATTTGAATCATATATGTACAGTATACTGTGCGTGATCAATAAAGAAATTACTAATAATAAAAAAGAAGACTAAACGTAGCAATCCCATTAAAAAAAGTCACCAAAAACTAGAGTATGTATCAATTCGTGCTTTTGCTTAAGTTTAGTCAAACTGCTGATGAATGTTTTTGTGTTTCAGGTTGCTTTCTGTTTTTACCAGACACAGTACATTTGCTCACATTGATTTGTGTCTGTTTGTTTGGAAATGAAAATCACCCTGTTAGGCTTAGAACTGGGCCAAGCTTCAAATTTGTTATATAAGAGAAGACATTTCTACTAGCATTCCTTTCAACGTTGCAGAAAAAAAATCACAGCTGCAGCTTTTAATCTAATGTGGTGTTGAGGTATGACTCTTTACAGTTTTTATTTTAAGACTTTTCTTTTAACGCTCACATCTTACAATTTTGATGAATTTGGAATCCCATCTCTGATTTTTTAGTTTCAGATTAAAGTGTTGAATCAAAAAGAACGACAATGCTGTTTTGAAAGCAGCAGATGGGAAAAATCTAGGAAAATTCATCAGTAACAAAGTATTTTTTCTCTGTGTTGTCATTAATGTACGCAGCTCTGTGGAAGGAGTTGGACTTCACTGAAAGTTTGACTTACCAGCAGCAGAAATCAGCTGGGGAAATAAAAAAAAATCCCAGTCACATTTCTCACGGATCTTTATTAGGTGTTTAGTCCTCAGCTGCTGAGTAAGCTGTGACTGCTTCACGATTCAGTCGTTTGGTGTTGGACTCGTTTCATTTCGAGTTTTAATTTCTGGACATTTGTTCTAAGCTGAATATGATTTAAATTTTATTCAGGGGATGTGTTCCTAGAGAGTATATCTTTTTGAGTGAAGCATTTTTTAATCTGATGTTTAATGCTGATATCTGCCATCATTTTTTTTTGTCATGTTATGAATTTTTTTTTTGTCTCTGGTTCACCTTACAATTTCAGTTTCAACTATTTTCCTACAATATTGCAGTGGAAATTTGTGCAAACATTCTTTTTGCACTATCCTAGTTTTTAATCAAAGAACTTACTAAAGCTTTCTATTCTTCTATTGTGTAGAAATAAACATTTTAATTAACACATCTGTTTTTGACTTCTGTTTCTATTCCTCCTGAGGCTGAATCAGTTTTTCTTCAGTAACTTGCTCGTTATTTTTCTCCAGTTCAACATCGTTTCTCAGGCTCTGAGCTTGGTTTCACATCACAGGGTTTTCTGCCAGAACCTTTAGTTAGTCTCATCTGACCAAAGTGTTTTGTTCCAAAGGTTTTATTAGACTCCAAAGACCTTTTGAGATCCATTGGTTCAACCCTTTTCATTAACTTTTTGGCATTTTTTTTATGTCTTGACATTTCCAGGACTGTGAATTTGAATCTGTTATTTCCTGGCTGGTTTACTGTGGTTTGTTTTCTTTCCCATTAGGGATAATAGATTCTGATTGATTCTGACATTCAGATTTTTTTTACTTTAATTTGTACTTAACTTTGTCCTGGTGTGTTTTCAGAACTGCCTGGCTGTTCTGCTAAATGATGGGAAATGAAATCATGTAACACTTGGATTACTCACAGGTGCACCTAAAGAATTAGTATTTTTATTTTTTTAGATTTTTGAAGGGAACTGGCTGCCCCATATCTTAATCTGAGACCTTTAAACAGCATACTTTTCACTATTTAATTTTTAAATTTTATTTTCCAAGAAAACATAGATATTTTTTAATGGAAGTTAATTATAAAAAAATGCTAATGTTTGCTCATTTAAATGATAATAGAATGAACTAAAGCAAGGGCCACAGGTCACTAAATGTAACTTAATTTATTTATTATACACACAGAAGGATGCCTTATGGTTGTAACTCTCTCCCGTATGTTTTTGTAGTTGGAGCAGATTTTGATGCAATGCAAAATAGATGTGCTGTATTCTTATTTGCATCATTATTTTCTGTTTCCCAGTCCAGTTTCATCACTCAAGCAACAGCAGCATTGCATCACCACTAGGTGGCAGGAGGAGTCAAAAGTATTTTTTGTGTTTTCCCAGTGTCGTCTTCATCCTTGTCCCCACTCAGAGTCAGAGAGAAAGAGAGAAAAGGCGAGAAGAAGTGCTGCAGACACATTCAGGCTTTGGATGGCCTTGACGTAAACATCAGAAGGAGGTTTTGGACCTCTTGTGTATCTGTTTGTCACTGGATCTGGAGATGCAAGGGTGCCATCATCATCATCATCATCATCATCATCATCATCATCATCATCATCATCTCTTCTCACTCTACATTTTAAACTCTCAGAACTCTCCAGAGAACAGCTTTTAATTGTTTTTTTTTTCTGCTGACATCTGTGGAGGACTGACAGAAGATTTTGCATGGAAGATTCCTTTTTTGTTTTTTAAACTCAAAGTGATTGTGTTTGCTGAATGACCTGTCTGAGGTCTTCTGCATGTGGAATAATGTCTTTGTTCTGGAGCAGAGGCTTCTGGTTTCCTGTGGTGTTTGGTGCCACGCTGGTTGTTCTCAGCGCTGTAAGTGCTGGACCGAACCAGGACCGGAGGCAGGCGAAGGCATCCTCGTGTTTTGGAGGATTTGACCTCTATTTTGTTTTGGACAAGTGAGTAACTCACAAAGTGCATGACAGCTGCAGGGAAAGGGGGGATTCTGGTAAAAAACATAACATGCAGCATGAAAAAAAAACTGTTTTATATACAATGTTGTGCAAAAACTCTTGTGGATTTGAATGAATAGTTGCATAAACATCAAATATCATGAAAACATACTTGCTTGTTTGTAAAATGACACATTTTTCATATGGCACTGCGCTTCTAAATATGTTCTGCTTTATATTCTGTATTCATCGCTTTTCTCATGTCAGCCAGTAATATGGATATTCTGGTGAATCAAAGCTCAGAACTCCTCTCTTTACAAGCTGAGATAAGTCTGATGGTTGGTTTGGACAAGCACTCATGCTCATTTAACTTTTTTTTATGAGTTATGACATCAGGCTGCTGCTTAGTCAGCAACATTTACTTCATCAAATCAATGAAATATTTATTTATAAAGACAGTTAAGGCAGTATTTTTTCTTCTTAATTCCAGAGAATTTATATTTGAGGGTAAAATATGCCTTTTTATTATAATTTGTACTTGGCAATCATAACAGCAAAGCAAAGTCAACTAAGACTCAAAGACAAAGACTTTCATATCAGTAGAAGAAAAACAGTACATGCAGCAAAAAGAAGCTGAAGAACTCACACGTAGAACATTAGAGGCAGGAGGTAGGCTGGTAATGGTAAAAAAACAAGTTTTATTTAAACAAAAGCAGCTTTCTGGATAGTGCCCTGCAAATGTATACATGAGCTAAAACGATACTAAGAGGAAAACCAGGACAGTCAAACAGAGCAAAGCACAGCTGAAGACTGAAACTTATACACTGAGGGATGAACAAAACAAATAAGGAACAAGTGAGTGGAAAATGATAACGTAATCCAGGTGTGCAACGCAGACAGGGAGAAGAACTCAACACAGAGGGTGAGAGGCATGCAGCAAGACTTTCAAAAATAAAACCATAAATGAGTTTAAAGGTACAAATGCAAGATCAAAATCAAATGATTTGAAGTTAGTTTTGTAGAAAATAATAAATAATAATAATAAAACAACCTGGTGTAGAGATGCTCTTTTAGCAACCTCAGCTGGAAGAAAGTTCAGTTCTGTCTGCGGTGAAGAGCAAAAGGCTAGTCTGAGTGACACCCAAGTCAAAGTGGATCGGTGTCATCACAAAACATCTCAGATCTCAAAAACATCATTTTATGTAACAGCTGTTTAATAACCCTTTACACTGCATTTAGTATGGTGATTTAAATAGAATTCCATGGTTATTTGCAAGTGTTAATAGCAGCAGCAGCTAGCTGTAGCACTGCCAGCAGGGGCAGCTGTGGTAGAGTGGTTAGGGGAGTCGTCCTGGAACCGGAAGGTCGAACGTTGGATCCCCGTCCAGTCGACTCAGTCGTTGTGTCCTTGGGCAAGACACCTTACCCGCCTTGCCTACTGATGGTGGTCAGAGGGTCCGGTGGTGCCTGTGTATGGCAGCCTCGCCTCTGTCAGTGTGCCCCAGGGCAGCTGTGGCTACAACAGAGTTTACCATCATCAGTGTGTGAATGTGTGTGTGCATGGGTGAATGTCTGTAGTGTGAAGTGCTTTGAGTGTCCTGGATGGATAGAAAGGCGCTAAATAAGTACAGTCTATTTACCATGATTGTGTTTCAAGAAAAATAGTATTTTGAATGTGTTGGCCGTCTAAAGGTTGTATGATGAAATGACAGTTTTAAAAAATATTATTCACACAAACCACCATTAAATGATTACGGCTGCAGGTGGTTCAAGAGGGTAGCCATTTTTTGGCTCACTCAAAGAGTTATCAAAACAGGTAAGATATTTATTATTCAAACCATTTCCACAGAACTACACTTGAAAACTATCCCTTTAAGGCTCTAGCATCAGCAGAATTGAATCACCCTGGCTTGAGACTTATGGAGTTGAGTTCATAACCTTTTGATATTTCACTTTTTTTTAATTGCAGACCGAAACATTTACAAACTTGATTGATAAAATGTACAAATTTTCTTCCACTGAGAAATGTGATGGGAGAGAGCAACTATTGATGAAGTCAGAGGTTGGAGACAAATATTTGTTTTGTCCTTAAGTACATGCTAACTCCAGACATGCGTGAAGACAAATAAAGAAATCTTATGTTTCACAGATTGTTTACATTAGCTCAGTTTTATCTACACTTGTTCAGGTGTGTCCTTGTTATTCATTATTTTACTGGAAACATTGATTTTGGACTTTATTGTTACCGTTTTTTTCTTCTCCCAGCAGCTGTCATGTCCTTCACTTAGCCCCCCCATCGACCTCTTGCAGAATCTGCGTGATCTCTTCTTTCCTCCAGTCTCTTTTCCATATCTGCACTGCCTTTCTCTGCTTCATCCAGCTGTTTGGCCTCTTGACTGAGCTGTTTGTTTTGGAACTTATGTCATGGTTACATTGGACAAATATGCAAATGAAAACTGAGCGGCTTATGAAAACATGGTTTAAGTGAAAGTTATTTAGATAAGAATCAGCAGTAACATGCATAGAAAAAACTGAGGCTTTTCTTCTTGCAGAGCAGGAAACGGTAACCTCTGTCACCATCGCAGTGCAAGTCAATAAAACCATCCAGTTTCATTAAACCCCTCATCATTAAAGAAGCACTTGTTGATTAACACTTTATTTTATTGCCTCTCTTTTCAGATCTGGGAGTGTGCAGAACCACTGGAATGAAATCTACCATTTTGTTGAACATCTAGCTCAGAAATTCACAAGGTAAACATCAAAACGATGTCTGGAAGCTGCATTGAAAGGATTGCTGATCTATAGTCTCTCTTCTCTCAGCCCACAGTTGAGGATGTCTTTCATTGTGTTCTCCACCGAGGGACGGATCCTGATGAGCCTGACAGAAGACAGGTGGGTGCAGAGTCTCTCAAGTTGCTTTTAATTCTTTGGGTTTCTGCTCTACAGCTGAACGGAATGAGTGAAGCAGTAGATCTGGACTGATTTACCCGAGTTCTGATCCATGTTTTTTTATGACCAAGAAGAGAATCCAGATAGATTGTGGCCACGATGGTGTGGTCAGCCTGCAGAACTACTTTATCATGTGGTTTTGACATCTTATGGACAGTTCTGAGTTTATATTTCCTGAACGGATCCTTTCACAGATTCAGTGTTTGCTGCATGAGTTATGTAAATTTATACAACGTTCCTTTCCTGTATATTTGCGTGACAGTAGTTGCAGGCCAGTACTGTTTTGGTTTTTACGTCTGTTGCACATGGCTTGGGTTGTCTGAAAGGACTGCCCCGATGGAAACCATTACTCTGTTACCAAATGAATCAGACAAAAACAAATATTTGGAGCGTATAGCATTGTCAGCACGGTGGTCTGTCCCTCTGTGTTTCTGCATAGAGAACAGATCCGTAAAGGTCTGCAGGAGCTCCACGACGTTCAACCAGGAGGAGACACGTTCATGCACGAAGGCATCCTCAGGGTAAGTGAACCGCGTCCAACATGGAGCTGAGTTATCTCTAGTCTGGGTCCAGAACAAGCTCCACTTGGTCCAGAGCGCCATGTGGTGCCTGTGTTAGAGCAGGAAGGAGTTCTTTCATCCACAGCATGCTACACAGTAAACCCCAGCCTGTTAGGTCAACAGTTTGTTAGACTTATTAACATGCATTTTTCATTTATTCTTTTTTTTACTGATTTAAAGCATCTCAGAATAAATAAACTGCAAATACATGCATTCCAACAGTTGAGAATATGGTGGAAGGGTTATGAACAAGTGATGTCTTACCTGTTGTGGATAAATAAAGATTAGGTTTGATCAGAATGAAAGCTATTCAGAGCAGGGACAGATCAATACTCTTAAAACAAGTCTTGTCTCAAAAGATTAAATTAGTCATCAATCTGGTCAAAATTTAAGTATTTCTCAAAACCATTGCTCTGCACGGAGCCAGCAGGTAACAACAAAATTGTTCAGAAATTTCACACAAAACCCCACCTTAAAAAATCAGAACTATCCTTTTAACTCAGTGGAGTCAATAGATTTATAAGTTAATATCTAAAAAATGTGTCTAAGGACAGGTTATTTGTAAAAGTTATGTTATGTATGTTCCCCCAGTGTATCATCTTTTAATAATATGATTGTTGTTTTTGAAGATAAGCTGTTATATTTCATAGTGTGCTATGATGATAAACTGTTTTAATCCAGCTTTTCTTTCATTAACAGGCCAGCGAGCAGATTTACTACGGAAACACTGAAGGTGTGTATTATCTGAAGATAAACACACATAAATGTGGCGTTAGTCACAACTCAAATGTGTGTTTGATTCAGCCTGTTGTGTAATTTAATGGTTCATATTTTAGAGGAGACTCAGTTCCAAAATAAATTCATTTAAAAGGTAGAGTTTAAAATATAAAAGATAGTAAACTATGGAGGTAAATTTGTGTTTTCATTATTCAATCAAACAAAAA